TATATATATATATATATATATATATATATATATATAATCTTAAATAGTATCATTTCAAGCACAAAATGCATTTATCTGATGATATAAACCCAACATTAACTATACCCAAAACATATAATAAAAATCTTATTCAATCTGAAGTAATTCATATTCTTCAGAAAAACAGTAACAGAAGAAAATTCTAAAGTCAGTAAGTTAAAAACAAATGTTAAATCACAAAACATGCCATAAATACAAGTGTAGTATTACTTAAGAGCATGTGTTAACTACTACTGTTATTCTGTAGTCAAGACATGTGATACATCTCCACATATACTTTTTACAAAAGAAAAAGTTATTTTAAACTACACAAACAGAAGTAGAAATATTCTTCTCCCCTGTGGCAATCAAGACTATATACTTTAATTACATTTACAATGTAGGCTTAATACTAAATCATACAGATTTCTTATAACTGACAACTTTCCATTGTTATGTTAGGGCATTGGTGATTTGATTATATATAAAGGACACAAATACTAACCATCTTATATGGTGTATGAGTTAAATCCACTTTGGTAACTCTTACCCTAATTGTTTAGGTACAAACCTTCTGTTATTATTAAGCAGTTTTAATTCAACTGACACAATTAGGTGTATTTCACAATTTAAAAGATAGCTACCCAAAAGTAATGTGTTATAACCATCAGGTAGGTAGGTTTAATTATATGTGAATGTTGTGTACATTTCTAAGTAGCATTGTTTCTAATAAATCATATTCTATAGAATATAATTAAACATTTTTTAGTAAACTTACAGTCCTATCTAAACTTGACTGCTACACAGATACAAACCATTCCTCCTGTTCTGTTTTCAGGCTCTGGTGGGATGGTTGGGGAACATTGCTTATTTCTGGAGATTTTAGAATACTAAATGGCTCTCCCTCATATTCCTCGTTATCTCCTTCATTTTCATTTTCTTCATTAGATACACTACTGTTGTCTGTGTTTAAGGGCCCTGCTGAACCAGATGACATCTCTACTGAGGGTCTTTCCCTTTTAGGTGAAGCTCGAACTTCTTTCTTTTTATTCTGAAGAGTCATGCTATCTTCTTGTGATCTCTTCCTTCTTTTAGAAGTGTTTTCCTCGAGAGATTCCTTCAAAATAAAAACAATATCCTAAAATAAAACTAATATTTCAATTCAAATTTTGTTTATGACAATTTTAGAAGTAATAACAAAATAAAATTTAAAATAGCAACTGTAGAATAAATGAGGAGAAAAATATTTAAGCAAGAGAAGTATACAAATATATTTATATAAAAATATAAAGGAAAATAATCAATTTTTCTGAAAACTTAAAAAAACGAAACTCATCAAATCTGAGATAACTAATAAATACTACTGTAAAACTGAGTTTATTTAATATTTAATTGTTGTAAAATAAGACTTGTATATTTAGGAGAGTTTTGTGCCATAAAAGTCACTACTTATTATTGTATAGAGTTTTAGAAGAATGGCAGCTACATAAATTCACTACAATTTTTGTAATCTCAAAAAAAAAAATGCTATAAATCAACAATACTAGCCTTCAAAAAGCTTTACTAGGCAGATGCTTAAAAAAAAGTAATTATTAATAGGTTAATTTCCATATAAAAATAATAAACTTCAGTATAACAGAACAGGCCATTTATACAAAAACTGATTATTTTTTGTGCATACTATTTTGTGTATATGGCAGTTGTTCATGCAAAAAAAAAGTTTTTATTATTCTAATACATATTTGTATAATGTGTATCCACTGTTAATTAGAAATTATCACTGGACTTACACATTTGTTACCATTAAACACATATATATATAAAATATACACACCTAGTTTTCACCATCAAGTCTAAATTCGATGATTAACAAGACTAATACAGCATCACAGACCTTATGTGGCTTTGAAAGTACACTAGTTATGTATATTTCAAGTATACTCTGAGAGTTTTACACACTGTATTCAATATGTAGGCTGAGTTTTATATGGATTTCTACTATCATTTTACAAGTAAGCTTAGCATACAGACTAGAAAAGCGGGAAGAGCCAAAAAAAAACACAGTCAACAACTTTTAAGTGTAAAATAATAATAATTTAAAAGAAATGAAAGTTTATAGAAAACTGCCAGAGTTGCACTTTAACTTTGATAGGTAGCATAAAATATTATCATATTAGTTGCATTGACTATAATACTTGATGACTGTCAATTATTGTAAATAATTCTTTCTAGGGTATCAGTGATATTCTTTTTGTTTCCTTTTCAACAGAACTTTCTGACAGTTACTAAATAGTATCTAGTTTCGGCTTGAAAGAATTTGTGATAGTTTGATTTAGTTTTTCTATAATTTTTGATAATAGGAAGATTTACAAATGTTTTTTGTAAATATATTTCTGAAAAAAACATAAAAAGTACAACTTTAATTTTTTTTTATTGTTGATCAGAAACTTCTATTTTATATATACAGTCAATTACCCCTTGGTTGGTTTTAATCGACATATTTACTTGATATTTTATTTTGTAGATTGTAATGGTCACATTTCCAGATATATAAGTCATAAAAACATTCCACAAAGACTGACCTATGATCTGAACTTTCAAAATGGTATCAGGTCAGGCTAGGTAACAAATACTTTTGTTAACAATATTCTTAGACAAAAGCATTTCTTAAATATATATTTTCTGTTCAATAAATTAAAAGTTCTATTGCTTATGTGCATTGTTTGAGTATAACAAATTTAATAATAAATAAATAAGGATTAGGGTCTGTTTGTAGTTAAGCATAAAGCTACACAATGGGCTATCTGTGCTCTGTCCACCACGGGTATCAAAACCTGGTTTCTATGGTTGAAAGTCCGCAGACAATTAGAGTCACCAAAATATATTGCTATTACTACTGTACTCTCTTAACTTAATAGTGCTTACTTGATGTCTTATCATAGATGTAAACTGTCATAGCTTTCAAACAAATATACTTTAACAGAAAAACATTTTAAGGACTGAAAAGAACGTCTAAAGAAACAATAAAAATTTCTCAGATTTGTAGTTTGTTCCTAAGTCTACTAAACTTCCCACTATATTCCATTGTTCAATTTTTTTTTCTGCTAAGTCTTGTCAGTTTCTCATAAAACTATAAGTTAACATTTTCTTAAACTGAATATGAATTTAAAGCAATGTGTCAGATAGATACACATGAAAACGTGTAGTGCTACAACCAAAACATGGTCAGTGGTAGAAAGTGCTATATGCCATAGACAACCAAAGAATGCCACCACCCTACTCTCAATTGAATGGTATGATGCATCACTCAGGAGGAGAGGCCTCCATGGTTCACCTCCTCAGTGGCTAGGAACTGGTAAGTGGCAAGGTCTCCCGTACTCCACTAGAAGAAAGGAGGAAAAAATGCATTGGAGAATCCAGAGGACTGCATCATTGGAGACAGTGCAATGGATGACTGCGATACCCTATTTTGAAAAGCAGAGCTTCCTCTTTGACAGAGTCAATTAACCAACACCCAGAGGCATCTGGAATTGTACATCAGGTCTGGAGTAGGAAAAGTCTCAACACAACAGAGCTTCAGAGATGGCAGTATTCCCTGTCTGCTTTATCATGAGTGTACAGTCTGCGACAAACATATTTATGTAGCAAAAGGCTGCAATGGAACACACTATCTTTACAGTGTGTGTAACATACTCCTGTGGCATAATTGTTTCAGCATGGATGACAATTTAACAGACACACACACAATCAACATCTTGTGGTATCTGGAATTATACATCGGGTCTGTGGTATGAAGAGCTCAATATAATTGATATTGAGCATGGTCAGAGGATGGACAGTGCAGATTTTCCAAAAAAAAGGATACCTGGTCAGGTACCACTCATCACAGAGTAGAATCCACAGTACACTAGCAAGAAGGCCTCTGTAGATAAAGAAATAACAAAAATATAGTAAAGAAAAACTAAGTCTGTAGTGTAAAGAAAAAACAAGTATGTCTGTACATTACTACTGCCAATCGAGAAGTAATTAATGAGTGCAAATGTGAAGAGGGAGCTGGTTACAATAGGGGTTGTGTCCAGCTTCTATTGGTGGAGAACTGCTGCATAATCATTTACATGTTGATATGCAGAAGTGAAAGGTGGAAGGTTAGTGACAAACGTTGAAAATGTGCGCCGATAGAGGGCAGTACTAATCAAAAAAGCTATTTTGTGAGAGGAGGTAAGATATATCAGAAATTACTTATCACACCACTTTTTTCACTATATTGAAATAAATAGTTAATAAGCTGCTCTATCAATAGTATTTGAACTTTACATAGCTTCATTAGTGGTTTTTCAGATAACTGCTTGGAAATCATAAAATGGTGGAAACATAAGCTGTATCTAATAAAACCTGTGAAAAATAGGAAAATTCACATGAAAAACAAAACACTGATTATTATATTCACACAAGATTATCGATAGTTTCTTAGCAAATATAAACTTATGCTTTGGGATTAGGAGAAAAATACAAATTGACAATTGCATTGCATTGTTTATAAGCGATAGTCTCCTTGCAGATGTACAAAAATGTAAGTTTCAAATATTTTTAATTTTTCTTTGTGAATTACACTAAATAAATGTTGCAAAATGATAAAATGTTAGTTGAAACAGAGTTATAAATATTATTTTTTTCTTCATATTTAATATACCTGAAAGGTGCTCACCAGTCCACAAAGGGTTAATATGATCCTACCCAGTTTTAAAATAGATTTTAAGATATTTCTTATTAAATTCTGACTTTGAATTGGCAAAAATGTAATGTATTTAAAATATTTCAGCTCTGAATCAATAAACAAGATGAGTGTTTTGACTTGACTCCCAATAAATTCTTAATTTACATGGCTCAGAACCGTTTTCTGGTTTGCAGATATTACTTAAATTTAAGATAAAATCTATAGGACTTTTTACTTTTATATCTGGTCCATTTTTACTTTCAGAGGAGAATTCAGAAGGTTCAGGCTCAGTACTAGTGTTCTGAACTTCTCTGTCTTTACAATCATTTACTGTCTTTTCATTTGTCTGTTTGTTTTTCTCCATACATTTCTGGTTTGATAAAGAAAGGTGTATTATTAATACACATACATCAGGTTAACACCAAACTGAATGTACAGCAACAAGATAAGTATCATGTGAATACACAAAGATCAATGTATAATTAACCATGAATATTAACTGGAACACATTATCATTAAAGCAAACAGATAGATCACTATCCAGACAGATGTACATTGAAACAATATAATTTCAAAAAAGCATTTTCAATTAAAACTACACACAACAGTTACATAGTTATTCTTCATAACTAACCAATAATCAGCATACTAAGAACAGAGTCAGAAGCACAGATCACTTTTGCTTATGAAATCAGGAAAACACAGTGAATAAGGTCATGTTGAAACTCTACATTGAGTATATATGAGCTAAATACAGAAAAAGAAAGTTCAGATTTTTTCTAGAAATATGCATATAATAACAACTTTGATATCACAATCCTGCATTTCAACTACTTCCTTTTTCCAAGTTTTGCAGAAGTTTAGACATAAGATGTTTGAAAAAGAATATTTATTATTGATGCTTAAGATTAAGGGAAGCAGCAGTGCCAGATAAGAGAATTTGGGGCTATTCCATCCTTTAACTAAACAGAGCATTTGTAATAGACAGTGTGTAAACATCAGAACATCTCCCAATATTATTTTTGATAATAATAATAGTAATAAAGGATTTTAGTTTTTCTCAGTAGAAAACACACAAGCACTACTGACAATGCAAATATTTATGTTATTATTATTATAATAATATCCTAATACTAAATATAATTACTAAAGCAAAAGCACCTTGTTCCCTGCCCAATGGCTTGAGTAACTTATCACCCACCACTATATCAAGATCCTTCTCCGCAGTCATGCTATATTACGGGTGCCACATTTAGGTAAACACTGGTTTTTTAGTCAGATAATAATACTATATTAACACATATTGTTAATTTGGACCAGTTCTGATTGTCACATGCACCTACTTCTTAGTCAAATCTTGGTGAGGTATTTTGTGTTCCTGATTGTCAGTGGGCCATCTCTGAATTTAGGGCCCTGTGTATAGTGTGTCATGTGCATATTATTTTATCAGGGCCTAGGAAGCAGGATATACAGAAAAAACCAATAACATAGAATAGCTATATAATATACAGATGATATTTGATCCTTCAATAATGTCAATCCATGCATAACCATCTTTAGAAAAAGTAAGAATTGAACCCACCCTTTATTTTTTAGAAAATTACTGATTTCCTTTTTGAACTTGTGTTAAGTATCACCATCTACTACTGCCAACACCAATTCATTCCATAATACAATATCATTTTTTCATAAAAATAAAACTGTCAAATCAGAATATAGAATAACAAATCAGTGGCCTTTATTCTGTCAGTTTCCCACATAACCTTGTAAACTGCAATAAGGTTACCTCATATCCTTCTTTTCCCAAGAAAAAATAAGTTATGAGATTTTCACCTATTCCCATAAGATTAAACCTTCCACCCATTGAATCATCCTAGTGGCCATCCACTGAACTTTTTCCAATATGTTAATGTCCTTTCTTAAATAAGGAGACCAAAACTTTATAAAGTATTTCAAATGAGGTATAAATGGTGATTTGTATAAACAGATAATTACCTTTTTTTCAACTTGTAATCAATATGGCTATATACACTTTAAAATTCTATTAGCTTTTCTACTAGCAGCTGAGCACTGGCTAAATGGCTTGAATAACTTATCATCCACCACTATATCAAGATATTTCTCCTCAGTCATGCTATATTACAGGTGCCATATTTATGTAAACACTAGTTTTTTAGTTATATGATAATAATAATACTATATTAACATATCATTTGTCTTCAGACAGCCTCAAAATTGAGCATTAACCCAAATTTAAAATTTTTTCCCCTGATTTTTATAAGTGCAATCCATACCAATTTTGGTAATTCTCTTAGTATTGTACAAACATTCACAAAACACTGAACCATTGAACCAACATCCATATAAGATAATTGGCTAAAGTACATACATATGATTCTCCATAAAATGAATACCTCTTTCCTTCTTCGAGTCTGCATATGTGTTCCATTAACAGAGGATTTCTCTTCCTCTTCAATATATCTGAGCTGGACCAACAAAGATTCTTCATCTATTTGAAGTGGTCGCAATTCTCCATACTTTTTAAAATAAAGTCGACATTCTGTGCATAGTAATGCTTTATTTCTACCTGCATGATGCCAGTCTTTGGAAGCTGGAAAATGTACAGAAACTCCAGAACTAAAGACACTGAAATCATTATATAATACCTATTAATACTTTTAAATGCAGTGTTAATCGATTTCACCCAACCTAACACCAATATTTGTTACTAGTATACAATACATTAACAATCCCCACACTAACTACAAACTTCCAAATGTAGAAATTAAATCTCTCCAGTGGGTCCAGTGCAGATGAAAAGAAACATCTTCTTACTCTAACCTCTTTTTCATTTTCCTAACAATAACAGATTTGAAAATATCTAGTCATTTAGCAAGTGTCTAACACAAGACAAGAAAAAATATATATATTAGGTCGTCAAGAAATTAATTTTGCATCTTGAAACACAATATAATGTCTAAAATTTAGTATACTCTAATCCCTTATAGTGATGGCACACAATGAGATACACATTCGGCATGTAATACTGTTTGAATACAAGAAGGGAAACAACGCCTCTCTAGCCACAAAGAATATCAAAGAAGTTTATGGAAAGGTTTTCAACGTTTGTAAGAGTCAATGATGGTTCAGCAAATCTCGTTCAGGTGACTTTAGCCTTAAAAACTGTGATGGCAAGGGCTGACATGTTGGAATTGATATTGATGCTCTGAAGATGCTTGTTGAGTCTAACCCAAGGCAACACACTCGTGAAATGGCCCTATAATTGCATGTCTCTCATGAAACAATATGTAAACATCTAAGGCATATGGCAAAACTCCATAAAGAAGGTGTTTGGGTGCCTCACGAACTGTCCGATGATCATTGTTTCCAACTTTGGAACGTTGCTTCATCTCTTCTGGCTTGTAATCCATTTTTGGACAGAATTGTCACTGGTGATGAAAAATGAATTCTCTATGCAAATATTAAATGCCAAAAACAATGGCTCACTCCTAGACAAAAACTATTTCCATCCCAAAACCTGGACTCTATCCGCAGAATGTGATACTTTGCATTTGGTGGGACATCAAAAGAGTAATTCTTTCAAACTCCTCAATTCACAGTGAACTGTCAATGCAGAGATCTATAGTCAGTAAATGGAATGTATAAATCAAGCCCTTTTCAGAAACTCCCTTCACTCGTCAATCGGAAAGGTGTTCTCCTTCTTCATGACAATGCACATCCACATGTGGCACGTTTGACACAAAACAAGATTATGGAGTTGGGTTGGGAAGTTTCTCCCCCACCCACCATATTCTCCAGACATGGCACCATCAGATTACTATCTTTTTCATTCACTGCAACACCATCTTAATGGGAAGACGTATGTGGAAGGTGTTAAAGAGGACATTGACATGTGTTTTGTTTCAAAGCCAAGTGATTTCTTTAATCAGGGTATTAACAACCTGATTGTAAGATGGAAAAGCATCAACAATAAGAACAGAGACTATTTCATTTAATAAATGTTTTGTTTTAATATACAAGTTGTTCAGTTTCTTCATCTAAAAAAAGCGACATTAATTGCTTGACGACCTAATATATTCAACTGCTCCATAAACATTTTAAGTATTAGTATTTAATAACTTGCAAAAATTTTCCACATCTGCACAGTTACCTATTTTTTTCTCTGTATTTCACTTAAGCAGCAATAATCAATTCTTTGAGATGACAAATAACTAAAGATTATAGAAAAAAATCCAGATCATTTTCTAAGATAACTAAGCTTTTTAATAACCATTTTATGTACACTTAGACATTTAAACTTGATCAACCTGAAAGATAAACGGTGACAAAAAGTGGCAGAATGGCTGATTAGACTCACAGTAAACGACATACTTAGATTGCTAACCTAACTGCTCACTTGACTGCTGAATGTTGTTTCTGGGATGGTGTGGAGACCAATAATAAGTAACAATGATATAATAAGTAGCACTAACTGTTAGTGAACTTGACAAGAAAGTGAGGTTTAGGTGGAGAGGAAGTTAAGAATCAAAAAAGAAATAGGAGAGACATAAGTGTCTCCAGTCACTTATTGAGATTTTGAATAAGTTAGATCAAACTAGATTAAGACATGTTAGGCATTAGGAGTTTACAGAGTTAAGCAGCAATAAAAGGTGAGAGAGTAATTTTTATATATTATTGTTACCTTTTGAATTACAATTCTGTGCTTGCATTTTCAAAGTGTGTTATTCCTCTCTTAACACAACATACTCATGCACAAGTGAGAGAGAGCATATGACATGCAACTTCCTAAATCATTCCATCAAAGTATCAACACCATGACACAATAAACACAACTACACTTTTCTGTTGATTTTTTATATCACTTGATAATAGCTAGATTTTCACATTTCTTAAATGTAACAAACACAATTACAAAAAAAGTGGTGGTAACAGTGCTACTATAATAGACTATACCACCTCGAGATCATTTGTTTGAGCACTATAAATGCAGAAAGAGTAAACTGTAAGTGATTCAATGTTTATGTTAATATTTTCCTACATTGAAAATGTATTTCCAATAAATACTTACCTTCGTTCACATAATAGCTTTCCTCCATTTGTGTTGACCTCTATATGCACAATTTTTGCTCACCACAAGCCTCAACGCTCCTACCTAACATCACATGTTAAAACGTGGTTTGGCTGCATTGTAGCATGCAAATGAGCATACAACAAACTTTCACCAATAGAAGTGTGACATACCCTTCTAATGCAGCTGACTCCCTCTATACTGTAGAACACAATCACCACCTCAAGATTAGGCAAAAAAAGATGCACCAGAAGTGTGGAGGATGGGTGGGAAGTGTGAGAAGAGGTAAGTATCTATTGAAAATGCATTTCAGTGCAGGAACATGTTAACTTCTGATACAATATCTTACTTCCTCTCACATAATAGATAGAATCCCACATTCAAAAGGTAGAAGGACTGGTGCAAAATTTACCCAGATGAGCATTCTTCAGAAGGCACCCAGAGAGAACCCATGGAATGAGATACCCTAAAATATAGGGTCACATTCGTGTAAGATTTTGCCCATCTGTACCATGTATACTCTTTGCCCTTTGTAAAGATAATGTGTTGTTAAATTGGGCAGAAAAGATGCTAGTCCAATAAGAGTTGTGTAGAGTGACTAGGGCATGTGGATTGTATTTGGTGGGTCAACTCCAGTTTAAAACCAGGCAGCACTGGGTATTTGTCTTCCAGTCTGCAGTAGGAGGAGAAATCCAACTGTCTTTATCTCAAACCCAGGAAGCAGAAAGAAAAAAACAACTTCTATTTTGACAACCCAGGCAGGGCACATGTGTGCAGACCCAGTACACAACTAACACCAGGCCACCTGTGAACTCAATATCTGGGCAATGGTAGGAAGCATGGTGGGTCAACTCCAGCCCAAAAGTGGGTGGTGTCATGCAGGAATTTCTGTCCAGTTCTCAGTAGGAGGGTCTCTACCAACCACATGTGTGAGGACTTATGTTGGCTGGTCCTATGCTGATCCAACACCAGGTCATCCAGGAACTGACATTCAGAGACAGAGGTAAGATGGGGTAAAGCCAGCCAGGGGGATGAACAGCATGTGGTGGATTTGTCTAGTCCAAAACCAGGTGGCTTTGGGAGTATGTCTTCTGGTCTGCAGTAGGAGGAGAGTACTCAACATCTACACTGACAGAACACCATCGCCCTACACTCAACTGAGTGGAAGTGGTCACACTTAGGAGGAAGCCTACATGGTCCACGACCCCAGCAGCTAGGAACTGGTAAGTGGTAAGGGCTCCTGCACTCCACTGGAAGAGGTAGATGAATAATAGAGTGGGAAATCCAGATGAATGCAACACTGTAATACAGTGCATTAGGTGATCATGAAAACTCTATTTTGAAAAACGGGTCAGTTCCGGTTTATTCAACTAGGACTGGAGGAATGGGCAGTGATCCCAACATTGTTTCACTCATGATGGTTCATGAGTTGGTACAGTCTTGTATGGGCATTATTTATGGAACAAGATGCCATGAAGAACTCTCTAGCAGTTTCGTGGAACAACCCATCTCGTCAGTGAGTGTTATAGAACTGTAAGGTTGTATGGTGTAGATTCCAAGTTAAGTACACTCAAACAGGCACCGTTTACCACTGAGTGGGATCCATAGATGTAGGAAGATGCAAATGTAAAGATAAAATATGTAAAATGAAAGAACTTACCCATTAAGAGGCAGTAAGGAGTGTTTATAATGGCAACAGGAGAAATTCGATATCCACAAGAAGAAGACTAAATGGCCAGAAGATGAAGAAAAGCTGTGACAAAAGTAAGTCGGGGAGTTCACATGCCAGTTTGTACAAATTCCTCCAACAGATGACAGAAGTGAAAAGTCAGAGAGAGAGAGTAAGGTATTGGATTTGATAAGGAGACTTGAAAAAGTAAATTTGATTCAACATTCAATGAAGCACAGGCTAAATGGATGGGGTGCTGTAGCCATTCCTTGACAATAATAGAATATATCTCTCGGGGAGATGAGGAATTCCAAAAATATGTAGATGGGAGGATGAACAATGAAAAGGAGCATAGCAGGTCAAAGAACAACAAACCATGTGGATGGGACAGAGAAAATGAATTGGAACAGAATGCAAATAATATTGAAAAAAGCAAGGAAAATAATACTGGAAACATCAATGGCATACCCATCATATCTCCTATGGCTACAGGCAAAAGTAAGAAGTAGGACCTAAGTGAAAGATGATAAAAGGAAGAAGAGACTAAAGCGTCAGAGGAAGAGAAAGGAAGGACTAAAAGAAAAGGAGGACAAAGGTGGCAAAATTAACAAAAAAAAAGCATAGAAAAGACAGGAGAGGAGAATACATAATGATAATAAGCAAACATGAAAGTATTAAGCAGAGCTGCCCAGTAACCAGCCATGGTCGAAAACAATATGCCTCGTTTGACCAGCCAACCAAAAAATTCGGAAAAATAGGGGACAGAAGGAGGGAAATGGAAGAAAACAAAATGCAAAGACCAACTATGGGATGTGTGTTCTTGTCATTGATAGACAATGAGTGAGTAAGAATG